GCATCGAAACATACTTAGAGTACAGCCAAACATGTTTAGAGTGCATTGAAACATTTATAGAGTGCGTCGAAACATATTTAGAGAGTGTCTTAAACATTTTTAGACTGCGTCTAAACATCTTTAGAGCGTTTCAAAACACGTTTAGAGTGCATCGAAACATCCGAGGGGACCGCACATAGTTGGGTGAAAGTTTTCTGCTGGATAACAGAGCTTTCCTTCCCCTGGTTTGTAGGAAGACAGATTTTCGCTTCAGTTAAAGCTAAAGGACATTGTACCGAGGGGGATCCTCCGTTACGCATACTTGGCAATGGGGGGAAGTCCTCCTGGAGAAGGAAGTTGGGTAGGGTTTCGGCGGTGGGAGCTGCAGCAATTGCGGGGTTCTCCTCTGGAGAAGGATTAGCCACGGAGATGGCAGTATTAGGGCTCGGATCTGTGGGCAGAGGCAGATTTTGTGGTTGTGGAGGGATATCTGGCGCAGGCTGAGGTTTGGGCATGGTCGATTCGGTAATAATGGAATCATAAATGTACGGGGTAAGACGCACTCAATTTGAGAGTGCATTCCTAACTCCCCTATAGGTTTATGGGTACTATAGAGTGATATATTATTACATTTGTAAAACATGTATTACTATTGCACGATAGAGTGCATGTATATATAAAGGCAGTCATAACATGTAAACAAGTTTTTAAATCCTTGTCTGTGTCCATATATAAAATTATATAAAAATACGTAATTTGATCTATACGAACAAATATATACAATATTTGAGTCAGTCATAGAGTTATATACATAAAGCATTTTATTATATAAGCATACAAATTAAAATCGTAACTATTATGCAAACCATCCATAATGTAGGTCATCATTACATGGGTATGTAAATACACAAGACAAAGGATCCCATCCATTTACATATTTAGTTAACATGTTTTAGACATCATAAACCACGAGGTATGTACAAACCATGTTACTTATATATGTAAATAGATAAGGCATGGTATTTAGTACATCTAACATGACTGATTATGTTTAAACATGTAAGAATATGTATCTAGTTACGTGACGATAACCAGCGTGGACTATAAATGATGCATCCAAACACTTACATCATGTTTATAAACTCCTATATATAGGAGTTCAATAGTAGAAATCATTCGAATATGGTATACCGATATCATACGATTTACAATCGTATATTACGGGATGTTTGTAACATGTAGTTTAAACATAGCATAACCTTTAATAACGCATTAACAACTGATTATGTATGTACATAAAAATGAATTTGTACATACATAAAATTAGTTTGTCTCTATATTTAGACACTCTTAACACGATAAATGGGCCCTTGAACTAGCTCATGCAACACGACAAATGTTGGCCTCTGGTAAAAAATATAGGCCAACATGTAACACGACAAATGGGCCCTTGAACTAGCTCATGCAACCACAATGGATGATCTTCTGGTGTGACGTTCGAATCTGCAAAACAAAAAAAAAATAGGTTGTTTAAATATCAATATATACTTGATCGATCTTAAAAATGGGTATAAATAAGAAATTTGATGAAAAATTCTTACATATTCTTTTAACCACGTAGCAAACCCTTTTTCTTTAATTTTGGTCAATTCCTCGTCATTTACGTCACCATACATGTTGTATACTTGTTCATCAAAAATCCTGCACAATATATCAAAAAACTTGTAAATGAATTAATTTAAAAAAGCGTTAAAAGTGGTAGAAGTTCCTCTCCAGATAAATAATTAAATGTATAAACGAACCTTTCAAAAGGTAGTACTTCTTCGCAATTCAACAATACAAAAGTATGTACCACATGATAGTCTTTTTCAGATAAGTAGGCATCGCTGGCGTTACCACCACATCTTCCTTTTCTGTCAAATATATGGGGAATATTTGCATTCGTCGGATAACTAGGGCCATCATCGCAATGGGATAATTTTTCTTATACTTCTACTTTTTGTTGCCACATTATCTTCAAAATAATATGAGGTAAATAATGATATTTCCTCATTGATATACTGTTCAGCAATTGATCCTTCAACAAAGGCTTTTTGTTTTGTCTTTTTCTTCAAATGGTACATAAATCTTTCAAACGGGTACATCCACCTAAAAAAAATTAAACAATCATCAGTTATGTAAACAAGTATGCATATATATGTCTTATATATTAATTAAACGAAACACAGTAATTAATTATACCGTACCGAAATTGAACTGGTCCACCAAGTTCTGCTTCTCGTGGTAGATGGATTGGTAAATGTTCCATCACATCAAAAAATGACGGTGGAAATATTTTTTCCAGATTGCAAATTACCAGAACTATGTTTTGTTTCAGCATGGTGATATCTTCAAGTTTAAGCGTCCGACTGCAAATCACCCGAAAAAATGAGCTGATCCCTGCACAATAACCACGTATCAAGTTTATATATATATAGTTCACATATTAAAAAACAACATTAAAAAATATATTGACATACCTGATACACTCTCGTGTACATGTTGTGGAAGTAGTTCTGCAAATGCTATTGGAAGCAATCGTTGCATAAAGACATGACAATCATGACTTTTCATACCCGTTAATTTATTCCCTACAATATCAACACATCGCGCCAGATTTGAAGAGTAACCATCGGGGAATTTCACATCATCCTTCAACCACCGAAAAAAATTCTTCTGCGCTTCTCCAAATACACGAAAAACTGGAACCGGTGCCTTCCCATCTTCTGTAAGTTCCAACTCCTTCCTCAAACAAATTGATTTTATATCCTTCCTTGAGTTTGGATTGTCCTTCGACTTTTGAGGTACATTCAACACTGTGTTTATGATGTTATCGAAAAAGTTCATCTCGATATGCATGACATCAAGATTGTGTCGCAACTTGTGATGTCTCCAATATGGCAATTCCCAAAATATACTTTTTTTGTGCCAATTATGATATTCGCCATATCCTTCAATCGGCAAATGACCATTTCCACCGACTTCTGCAGTAACCCCTAACCCATATGATCTCACACAATCTTCAATCCGTTCGAATAATATTTCATCTCCCGTCAGTTCAAGCGGACTAGAATCACTTACAACACGATTCTTACGAAAATTCTTCTTGTTTCGGCGCAATGCATGATTCCTTGGTAAGAAACGACGATGACAATCAAACCAACTCGTTTTTCTCCCGTTCGACAACCAAAATGCGTCGGTCTCATCCATACAGTACGGACAAGCTAGCCGACCATGCGTTGTCCAACCAGACAACATCGAGTATGCTGGAAAATCACTAATTGTCCACATCAGCACCGCACGAAGAAAAAATTTTGCTTTATTGACACGTCATATGCCTCAACCCCAATACTCCAAAGGTCTTTCAACTCTTCTATCAACGGTTGAAGGAAAATATCCAAACTCCTCCTAGGATGTTTAGGTCCCGGAACTAATATTGAGAGAAATAAAAATTCTCTATTCATACACATGTCCGGAGGTAAATTGTATGGTGTTAAAATCACCGGCCATAGAGAATAATTTGGACCAGACATCCCAAATGGATTAAATCCATCCGTGCATAATGCTAGATATACGTTTCTAGTCTCACTTGCAAAATCAGGAAATACCTGTTGAAAGTGTTTCCATGCTATACCATCGGATGGATGATGCATTTCTCCATCAGGCGTCGAATGCTCGCCATGCCATCGCATAAATGATGCTGTCTTTTCGGATTGATATAACTTTTTCAAACGATCTGTTATAGGCATATAAAACATTCTCTTCAAATGAATTAACTTGCCTTTTTTTGAAGCTTTCCGGCGTGGTCGATATCTGTCTTTCCCGTAGAAACGACATTCCATCAATTTTGCATCTTCTTTCCAAAAAATCATACAGTTGTCTTCACAAACATCAATCTTCCGGTAAGGTAGACCCAACGTACGCATCAGACTCTTCGTCTCATAATATGATTTTGTTGCAGTGTTACCTTCCGGAAGATACTGTTTAAACATCTGACTGAAGCCATCCATACATCTCTCCGGAAGATTGTAGTCAGTCTTCATATTCATCAATTGTGAAGATAATGATAATCTTGACAGCCCTTGTACGCAACCTTCATATATCGGAGTGTTCGTCGTGTTAAGCATATCATAAAATCTTTTCGCTTCAACATTTGGCTCTTCTTCCATATATGGAGAAGGAACAACGTTGGGAAATGCATCATTCACCATCTCTGCATATAGATTTCGGTCTTGATCTTCTTGAAAGATCGGAGGTAGCGACGTGTTTTCCACAAGTTGTTCTTGCATTTGTGAAACACGTGATGATGACGACGTATCATACGTTTCTCCATGAGCCAGCCAAACATAATAGTTTGACATAAAACCTCTTCTATAAAGGTGCTTACACACTTCATACTGACTTCGCCATCTTTTATTCTCGCATTTTGAGCACGGACATGGTAACTTCGAACTCTCAATATACGACGTTTGACTTGTTGCAAACGCCATAAAATGTTGTAATCCTTCAGCAAACTCACTCGAGATTTGATTAGAAGAATCAAATCTATTATACATCCACATTCTGGATGAAAAAGACATTTTTTTGTAAATAATTTTTTTTTTCGTTAATAATTTTTTTTTCCTATCTATGCATGCTCATCGCGCGGCGTGTATATAGGAGAGACGTTGCGACGGAAGTGCGACCGATATATTCTGTCGTAAAATGATTTGCGACCGAAGTGCGACAGAATTGCGACAGAGGTTAGGTGACATACCATTCACGTGTGTACCTAATTTTGCGACACAGCGGTGAGTCGCAAGTCCGTCGCAAATATTGAGCGACTCATACAGTGTGTCGCATATCGGTCGCATACTATCCGCGACGCATAACATCTGTCGCAAATGTGTCGTAAACGTAGCCCGACCGAACATATCTGTCGCATATTGTGTCGGTACATACCGACAGACCATCTGTCGTAAAATATCTGTCGTTTTCCGTCGTATTTCTGTCGCAAATACGTGCGACAGAGGTATCGGTCGCAAGCGGTCGGAAATTTGCGACAGATTTTGCGTCCAAATCCGACAGAGATATTTTTCCGAGATTGTGTCGCTTTTTAGTCGCGGTCTGTCGCAAATTTTATTGCGACTGAAATTTCGGTCGCAACAGGTGTCACAAATTACAGTTTTTCTTGTAGTGTAAGTTTATACCATTAAACTTAGGTTAAACTAAACATATTGTAGGAAAACATATGGGTATATTAATATCAGCACTCTAAAAATACCATATAACATTATCTACATGTATATTATGGTAATTTACAAAACATCCAAACATTGTAGATACTGGGAGTTATAAACAATGTTTAGAGTAACACATTTATCTACAAAAGTCCTTTGTAACATATTTAGGGTATGCTACCATTAGTATAGCATGATATAAATAGCACTCTATAACGTATGTTACAAAGGGTATAACATATATATACATGCACTCT